GAAACTTTTCAACGTGCAGTGGCGGAGCCACCATTGAACCCTCCTTTCGACGAAAAATTATATTATTTTTATATAGTTAAAAGCAATTTTATAAATATATATAATAAATGTCGAACTCCTTTCTACTACTTGATATGTCTTGTCTCTTCAGATTTTAAACCCCCTAATCAAAAAATTTGATTCCGCCTTTATAGACGCGAGTTTAAATTTAGTAGGACTTCAATACGGAATATTTGTAAGAAAAGGAGTAGTAGCTAACTTGATTGGCGGTGTTAAATTAAATGACTTTAGCTAACTTGATTGAACAAGAATAGTAGCACTATGAATAGTAGTCAAACAATGTAATTGATTTCTTCATTGAAAGTTAGTTTTAAAAAAATGCTTACAACTACTTTTTTCAAGAATTATTGCAATCTTTTACTACTTTCAAGTCTCTTTATGGCATTGCTTAAGATAAGAAGAAGAAAAATTAAAGATGTTTGTGACAGGAAAACACACTTTTTCTGGATTTGATGTCAAAGAAAGCAACAAATCTAAATGGCATGCCTAAGAAAATTGGATTGTTAAATCACTTTTACCGTTCCGGATCGTATATACAGTCAGATCTCTTTATTAACAAACATCATCCTCTATAATAACATTTCATTATAACATTCAGAGTTTCTTTGAAATCGATATTAATGTTATGTTATATCACGTGCTATAACAATATTTTATTATAACACAAAAAATATCTGATCAAATAACGTTGTTACATAAAACAGTAACAACCAACATATCTACCTAGTGAAATTCCACAAGTAGATTCGAAAGGATGGCATATATACGTAGTCTTATTTATAGAGATTTTTTCTGACAGACCCTCGACTCCGAACGGAAGGTGAGAGGGTTCCTCCTAATAAGTCAGCCATAAGATTCTTGTATTCTCTTTTTTCATGTTCTTTCAAATAACTTTCTTTACTTGCTCATGACAGCCAAAAAGTTGTCACTAATTGATTTTAATTAAACCTCGTAAGAGAATCCTAAGCTTCTACGATAGCTACAACCACTTGGAAAGTTTGACTTAATTAATTAAATTAATTAATTATTAGTGGTATAATGAGTGAAAATTTTGATAAAAGATTTTTCTTAGATTCCATTCAAATTTTTTGTGTATATATATATATATTCTTTTTCAAATTTGGAGCATTTTGAAAATTTGAAGATTCAATTATAAATAGATGATATTGCATTGTTTTAGTATCGTTCTTCATGCGTATTTCGAATTGTTTGTTGACAATAGACAAAGTCAGAGAAAATCTCTGAAATTATTTCGATATTGAACCTTATACATATAAGAATTTCAAAGGCTTCGATCTACAATATGTTAGAGGCTTTTTAGATTATTCCTCCTTATTCTAAATTAAAACACTAATAGATTCCTTATTTAAACATAAATCCGAATTTTCAATCAGAATAATTAATCAAATTAATTAATTTAATCATAAATTAAGTCTTATAATTGATAGGTTTGATTACTTTTCAACATTACGTTGTAGGAATGTTGAAGTTTTGCAAGATATTTTTTAATTTTTGACTTTAGAAAAAAAAAAGCAAAGTGATTAAATAAAATTAATAAAAAGAGAAAAAAATCGTAGCATGCGCCCATTTATTTGGAATTTTTGAGTTTGAAATGTCAATAGCTGTTTCTTTACGTACTACATTTTTTGAAAGCTATTTCATGTACGGAATATTTTGCATGGTTAATATATAATCGGAGAAAAAATTATATTTCTAGAAAAGTTTATATATATATATATATATTATGTTTTTATCCATCTTTAATTGTCATGTTGCGCTTTTCAAAAGTCAATTTGATTAATTTTCAAAATTATATTAGTTACATTAATTCGATATTTTAAATTAAAAAATTGAATATTCAAAAATTATACGAAAAATACTATAAATTGCAATTTCTTTTGCATATCAATATGATGAAAATACATCATAAAATTTTTATAATGAATATTTTTTTAAAAAAAAACTATAATAATTAAAATTGGACGGAAGGAGCAAATTCATTATGATGATGAGCTATATTTTGATTCATTAGTACCCAAAATTAAATCATTCCTAATAATGCAAAAGGCAAATAGATTTAGCCTCAAATGATGGAATTATGATGAGCTATATTTTGCTTCTTTTTATACTTTAAAATGACTTTGGAATGTGGAAATTAATGGGAACTATTTGATTTCCATGATAAAGTAATGATAGAAAACAATTGGCCCCATTGCTTTAAAAACTTGAAAAATAAAAAGCCTAAGAGGTCTATTTTTAAATTTTTATAATGTAAAACATATCACTATTATTTATTTTTCAAACATTATTATAATGTTTAGTGCTCCACTTCATTACATGAAATTTGACCCTTGGCCATATAGCCACCTACTCCTACTACATTTTTCACCATCTTTTTGACATCATTATTGCGACCATAGTGCATCATAAAGTTATAATCCTAAAATAAATAATTACGTCTCAATTTCAAATAAATCAAAAAAATCGATAATATAAATAATTTTCTTGCAATATTTTTTTTAATCTAAAGGATTTCTATGGACATGAATGAGTTGGTGAACAAGTTGTCTAGGAATTAATTATCCTTGGATTAGTTATTTTAAGATTGTTATCTCATTCTCAATGTAAAATAAACGTTACACTCTAATCCTGATAAAATAATTAATTCTGACGATTTAATCTTAAGATTAGTCATTCCTTATCTCTCGTCCCAAGCACACCCGGAGTTTAATTATTTTTTTTATTTTAAAAAAAGTAATATTTTTTTGGCTATAGAGAAATTTATTGTGATTGGAAAAGATGTTGAGAAAAGCTTTGTAACTATAATAAAGTGAGTGAATAATAATAGAGCAATGATAACATAATAAGAAATGCTAGAATTAGTAGTCATTAAAAGTTGCCAACAGAAAGAAGACAAAACTAGACTATGTTGAAGTTTGCAACATTATGGCAAAAAGTTTAATTTATGCGTAAAACTTGAACATATCAAAAATAAATTCAATAATAAAAAAGTAAAACTATTGAATATTCAAAATTCAAATGAATGCATTTTAATTGTTTAAAAATTTTAGTGAAAGAGATAGATATTACATAAAAGAGTTCCTCATATTTTTATACAATAATAATCTGTTAAAATTTTATCTTTACGAGATCGTCAATATTATAACAATATCATATTTAGAATAGTTCTTTTCTTGTCTCAAGGCGGAGCTATGGTGGTGTCAAGGGGTCCAATTGACATACTTTATCGAAAAATTACAGTATATATAGATTAAATCTTACACAAAGTCCCATATTTGAATTTGTGCATATGTATTTCATTGTGATCTGCTTGAAATCTGTAAAATATTAATAAATAAAAAACACAAGTCGATCAATGATAATTGCGTGTGGCCGATTTAAAAAGAAGGTATCAGCAACAACTGGTTTTATTACGAGACAACTCATGATGTTCATGTTGTTCTTTTATGCGTCTTTGCATTTAGTATTGGATAGACTCATACAATAACTATCTGAAGAAAAAAAAACATAAATTTGAAGTAAAGTGAGCAATTGCTCAATAACAATTTAGTGACGATATATATAATACATCAAAACTGTCAGATCAAATTTTTGACTGCGCTACTAATCCAATTTGCTATATTTTGTGAAAACTATAAAATGAGTCACCTCACATTTCTAATTTTTCTTCTTGTAATTATTTGTAAAGAAAAAATAATATCAATGATTAGATAATCAAGAACCAAATCTTAAAAAAATACAAAAAAAATATCCAAATTAATTATTTTTTTCTTAAAAAAAGTGCAAAATCCAAAATTTAATTAAAAAGTGTGTAGTGAGTGTCTAGAGATAAGTAGACACATAGCGGCGCATGAGGCCTCGAGGCCATCCATTTCTATAAATTTCCGCCGTTTCAAGCACCTGTCCACTCCTATGATTTCCACATAATCTTTGAATTTCGTAACGCGATTCTACTCTAATTTAATTCGTAATTCAATAAAATTATATTGAGTTTTGAAATATTTTAAGAATGAAAAGTAATTTGATTCGAATAAGTTCATTAATCCGTGAGACTTAGAGCAAGTCTGAATTGAAACGAATCGTAGCTAATAATAAGAAAAGTTCAAACTCAAAATCGATTATTTCGTTGCATTGTGATATTGAAATAAAGTTAGGGTTATATTTCTTGTTAGCTAGTTGTGTTGTATTAATTGATTAGTTCATATGTAATTGGCATCATTAGTGATATTAAGTTTTGGAGAATTAGTATTTAAGTAATATTAGGATTATTTTATTTGTGAATTTGAGACTAGCAACACTATGTAATATTATTTTTTAAATATTTCTATATTAAAATTTAACAAACAAGAAAAAAATATTATTTTTTAAAAAGTGGATTGACCCAACCTGCAACCCATGTTGAGTTGGATTGGGCTTCCTAATTTAGGCCCATCATATAAGTTTTTTTTACTAGGTTCATCTAAACTCAATACTTTCGACACAAAATATAAATTTATATATAAAAATAGTAAATATGAACCTATAAATTTAAAGTATAACGAATTCAACGCTATGAACTATAGAAATTGAACCAATAAAAGAGTTTTAAATCATAGATACGCCCCTGATTTCAACTCGTACATACCAAGAGAATATGTATATAAAGGAACAAACCTTTTTGGTACAACCTAGAAAAACAACTCTTCCTTGATCACTTTGTCTCCATTGTGTTGCTTCTTAGGGTCCCGGTCCACACTCCAGTTAACGCTCGACGTAACATGACAGGGGTGTTATTAGTAAGTTAGAGTCTCATATCGATTGGGAAATGAATTGTCGGTCTGCTTATATGAATTTGTACAATCCTCTTCTTTTGAGCTAGCTTTTGAATTAAGTCTTACTCAGGGTATCGTATCTTCACACTTTCTAAATAGAAGAGCATAAGAGAAAGAATGGCAAATGACATAAAAAATGTCTTTAAGAGAATGATAACAACAGTCCACAAACATTAAAAAGAACCAGTATGAAACCTATCATCCCATTTTCTGTGAGAATACAAAATTAGGCTTTACACAATGTAAAGAAGAAGGAATTAACAGGAGAGACATACAACAGATTTTCGAAACGATATTCTTGAGCTACTGAGGTGATGCTTGATGGTATGTATATACACAAGTCTCACAACACGTTCAACCATCGCGACCTTTTTTAAAAGCTTCGTGACATATTAAGTGCATCTGTTTCATAGCAATGTGCCTTCAGGACATGCTGCTTCTTAAAGTTAGTCCTAGCTCTTCGAGGTGTATTCCGAGCTTGTTTCTCATACCTGAATACAGAACTAAAAACACGCGATAACAGAGCTACCAAACAACAAATGGACAATATAACACCTAGAAAAAAGACTTGTACTTACAGCCTAGCCTTCTTTTTACTGTCCATCTGTGAATTACATGAAACCTCCTGATCGTTGGCAGCTGGTGAATCCACGTACTCGTTACCACTGCTTTCACTGCTCAGCCTTGATGCTGAGAAGGACAAGGAGGAAAAGTTTGTTCTTATAGGCGGAGGACAGTCCTTGATCGTGGGAATGTGCTCACCGTGGGCTTGGCCAAAGTGAGTTGAATGTCCTGTACGAACCGATGAAGCTGTTGATATGTCCTGTCATCAGTAAAAGAAACTTCTAATAACATGACTAAGTAAAACATATGTTGTAAGTAATTAAAAGCAAAACTATGAAGATCTCAAACCTTCTTAACGTAGCTGTAATCTGATCTATCGATCGATGAATCATTCTCCATAGATGAACATGTCATATCCTCCTCGAGAAGAGTGTTGTTCAGATACTGATCCTCACCGAAGAGTTCTTCAAAGTTTTGGAAGGTCAAATCAACATCAGGCATATTGGAATTATCGAAACGTTCTAGTTCAGCATAAGCTCCTAGATCTTGCAGATTTTGAGGCCAAAGCTGCAGAATCCATATAATGATCAAGCTCATACTTCATCAATCAACGCGGAGAATGCCAGTACAACAATATTGCTACATCTATCCGGTCAAATTGCCAACATGAACTAAACAGACGGAGAAAGATAAAGAAGCGCGAGAGGATTAACTACAGACAGGGATCATGCAGCAAAAACTTTGCTGGCAACTATATACCAGGTAGGACTAACATTCGAGGAAACAACAGAAATGATATCTTCAGCTTGATACCGAAAGAAGATGAATATTAGTCTAGTTACATGATCAGAAGGGTGAAAACACGTTTGAGAAAGGGGGCAATAACAACAACGAAATAATGTGAAATGGAGAGCATAACATATAGACAGAAGAAGAAACAGAACAACTAACAACCACGAAATAATGCACGAAAAACACAGGTGATAGCCGAAATTGAGCCATGAATGTTTCATGGAGTACGCAAATGAAAAGTTAAACGTGTAAAGTGGGATAACAGAGAGAATAACTTAGTAGCAGCAGACCTGACTACTCTGAACCGGACTTTTACATTCCCAAAACGAATCACCATCAGGCAACGGTAATGGAAACGATTCATCAACTGGACTTTCATGAGTACTGCCCCAATCCTGAAGTTCAGGGCCAAGATCAAGTGAACTCTGCAAGCAATCAAATTTGTTATGCATATTCCATGATGTACAATTTTTCAATGAAGAAACATTATTTCGACTTTCTCCACTTGTTAAATTGTTACTGCCCTCAGTCAGCTGAAGTCTTTCCAAGTCAAGAATCTGCTGTAGAATAAGAGAAGTATTCTCTCTCCGTTTACGCAAGCTTAACACCTAAACCAATGAAACAAGTAACCATAGAGGTAAGTATATCATGTATAACTCGGAAAGAACATAATAAAGAATCCGATACAGTAAGTTATACGGTAAGTTCACTTGTTGTTACAATCTACAGTATAATAAACAAGAATTTATCCCTCAGGAGAGCCTGCATAGCGTAAACATTACTAATAAGATCAATTAACTACGTTAAAATCATCCGTTCTATCATCAAACTACGACAACATAAACTACTTCGAACAGTAATCCATCTCAACTGTATCTGCATGACTGAGACAAGATATACTAGTATTCAGAATCATTAGGGGAAGCACTTTATCCGAAATCATCAACTTTTTATGAGATAATACAGATAAAAAGATAAAAAAGAACGATAAATTCTCCAACATGTCAAGTCAGGATTTCACGAAAATGCTAACCTTAGTGTAGTAACTAGTTGATCCCACTTCTGATTCAGGAGAAACAACGAGACCTGTGAAGTCGAGTTCAGAAGCTAAGGAAGAGCCCCCTGGTGATGAGTGAGACCGTTTAAATTTTTTTGAAATGACCTTAACTCCATTCGCTTTACCATTCGATGTTGAGATGAACTGATCTGGTGGAGTGGCATTTTCCAAATCTTTCAAGCCAAATCCCCATAATGCTGCCAAATCCTTAGCAGAAGGAGATCCCATGTAACTAGTGATCACTTTTCTCTGGTGTTGAGAAGAGAGATCATGATGGCATCGGTCACAGTCACGACACATGAACGTTTGATGATCAGAACATCGAATATAAGCAGGGTTGTGTCCACAACACTCGCAGACAAGAGTACGAGGATGACGATTAGAGAGGGCATTAGCTGAATGAACTTTAGCATCACAAGATAAACAAAGATGTGCTGCATCAGCTTCACAATACACCACTGGCTTCAATAACATGCAAAATTCACATGCTTTCTCCATTTCCATCTTTACAAATTCGAACGAGCCCTCGAAACAGTTGTTCTGCACATCTAAGCCATAATGTAGTTATAGGAAGTAAAAATGGATATATTTTTCAGTTCATGGTAAGGCTAAATCAGCTACGAGTTCATTTGAACTCATAACTTCTGACACGGTGTACAAATAACAACCACCACCACCACCACAACAACAACAAACCCAGTGAATTCACACAAGTCGGATCTACGAAGAATAGGATGTACACAGGCCTTACCTCTACCCCTTCTCGAACGTAAAGAGGTTGTTTTGGAAAGACCCTTAACTAGATAAACAGTGAAAAAGAGGCAATAAACACCAAACAAACACCACAAAAAAAGATAATCAGATATCGAGGCAAAACAACAATAATACGAATCTTAATAGTTGAACTCATCAAATTTAAATCCTGAATCCGCCACTGTACCAGATCTTTATCACAAAATTTCTCAGAATCATTGAATCTAAACAACAATTGGAATATTTTTCTATTCTTATCAACTAAAATTCTCAGTGATAAATTTAAATCCCTAATATCTACTTGTACTAAACTCCTAAGGATTTGTGCCTAATTCACTTGACCATAATCTGGTAGTGGAACACACATTATACCTAAATTAAGCAATTCACTTTTTCACAAAACATAATCAAACTATCCACTCCTATTGTTCCGACTCATCAAATATATTGTTATATTCATCAATCGCAAAGATAAATATTCAAACAAGGAGATTTAACAATTTATATTTATATAAAAAAAATTTATTACTCAATTTCCATTCAAATAAGATGGTTCAGATTCTCTAAAAATGCACTACTTTCATAAGATCCAACAATATTTTCAAAAAGTCCGAGCAAGATTAGCTCTCGAATAGTAAAACCATCCTAATACACATTTTCCACAAAATTCAAAAACTCTTCAAATGAAAATAACAAGTAACAAAATTCCATTATATGTTAACCAAACCAATACTTAGTAGCTAATAGTACTTTGACGCCGTGTCAGATCCTCCAAAAATAAACTACTTTTAGAGGATCCCCAGTCATATTTTTAGACAGTCCGAACAACATATAGCTTAATAGTAACATCAATTGCAATTTACTTAACAATAATTATTGTCTAGACATCTAAAAATTCTATTATAATCACATAACTAGTAAAAAACAAAAGTATAGAAATTGATTTAAATTAAAGTAATGAACCTGTGATTAATGTCTTCTAAGAAGTCAACTTTCTTGAATCAACAAAAAAAAAAATTAGAAAATTTCTTGAGATAAAAAAAAAAAGTGATTTTTTGAGAGTCACAAGAATATATATCCTATCATATTATAAACACTTTCTCTTGATGTACTTTTCATGAAGTTCTTCTTGCTATCTACTTTTCTAAAAAGACAAAAAAATAATAAAATAAAAAGTGAAATTAGCAATGAACTTTTTGGTATGACGTGGCATTTTTATGTATGGGTTTTGCTGACGTGGAGGTGACACGTCAGCTAAAAGTGGGACCCAAAAGCGTTATCTAACTAGTTTACATGTGAAGTGGAGTGATCCAATTGCTGGCAGATTATAGCGAATATGAATTCGCCACGTTAGGTGTAACAAGATTAGATATGCCATGAATTTTGAAATTCGAGACGGATTCATAATTTAAATTTTACGAGTTCCATTTTTTTTTATCGAACTCGTCGAGTTTTTCGAATTGTAAGTTCAAATTGATAATTTTATTATAGTTTTAGTGAGTTTACTATGTATAAATTTGTTGGTTTAAAAATATTGAATTCAGATAAATTTAGCATCGCCTTTATCGAGAATCCTGAGTCATCCAATTTGGAAGGAAGTGACAAAAGAAAGTTCGTGAAAAAAGAGGATTTTTTTTTAAAAAAATAATAAATAGATATTCGAAATTTCTTCATTGGATCTTTTAACGTATGTAAATTACTTTCAAAATTCCTTTGAATAACTTTTATGGATTTTATTCGTTTCGATTGTTTGTAATATGTTAATTGAATTTTGATAAGCTTTGAATAATTTTATAAGAATCTAATTTTAGTTTAAAAGGTTATATTATCGATTGAATGCATATAAATTTTATTTTGATAAAGATCGGATTAAAATTATAATGTTATTGAACGACACGATGCATATTTCATACAATATTATAATATTCTATTGTGATAATGTAGGTATAAAGGTTTGTTTGAATTGTTATATATCACTATCGTATATTAAATAAAAAAAAAGATTGTCCAGAAAATTTTAAAAAAAATGAGTCATAGTTGATGAAGACAAGTTTCAAATTCAATAAATAAAGTGCTCCAAAACCCTAATTTTATACTCTCTTCGTATCAGCTTATTTTTTAGTTGGTCTCAAAAAGAATGATAAAATTTTATATTAAGTAACAGTTTAACATGAAAATGTTCATTTTATCCTTGATAAAGTGATTTATAGCTACATATTTATCTATAACTTATTTAGATCACAAGTTTCAAAAGTAATTTTTTTAAAAAAAATTGTGTTAAGTCAAAATAAGTCATATAAATTGAGACGGCAAGAACATTAAATAAAGTAATTTATACAAATTATAATGGGCCTTTTGTTAAACAAGTACGTACTTAGATGGAATGGCCCAAATCTTCAACAGAAGGCCCATATCTGCTACCAATAGTTCTGGCCCATCAAAAAATTCTGGTAAATTTATTTAGGAAAATTAGTAAACTAGTCAAAATAAGTAACATATTTAGTAAAAATATCCATACTTTATAAATATTAGCAATAATGTCAAAAATGTCATTATTTTAAAAAATTTATGTGTCCCAATTTTTTTCCTATTTTATCTCTCTTTTTCAATTAATTCTATATATCCTTTTTTTTTAAAAAAATAATCATTTTCTCTCATATTTATTTTCAAATTGTTAATTCTCTCTCCCATTTAATTTTTTTTCTCCTCCAATGGCTGAATCCAAGAGGCTTACTAGAGGTATTCATCTTAATCAACCAATTTCTGGTGATTTTTCATCCTTTAATTTATTTATTACTTAACAAATAGTGTATAATGTATGATCCGCTGCTAAAATGAGGGAAGAAAGAGGGTAAGAACATTTACAAGACTCATTGGTGTGCAAAACCTTTCTCAAATTCAGAAAGCAAATGTAGAATCTTTGTCTACTCGTGAGGATCTTGAAAAAGATGACGAAGATCGAAT